ACAAGGGTGCCTGAACGAAGCATATTTGTATCCCTAACCCTTAACTGTACCCCACAATATTAAAATAAAAAATATTGATTTAAAAATTAAAAAAAAAAAAGATGTAGAAGGTTGTTACATTAAAAAACAAGGTAAAAAACCAAAGAAAGCCTAAATAGATGGACAGGTATACCAAGATACTATGCACCTGTGAGCACTCCCTTTTTGTAAAAACTGACAACCAAATGTAAATGCAAATCACACTACCTGACTCCAAAATTGACTACAAACAGTGTGGTACTAGTGTAAGATAGATCAATGCAACAGAAGAGAGCTCAGAAATAGACCTGTACTTACAACAGTCACTTGATTTTTGACTAAAACATCAAAGTGATCCAATGGGGGAAAGGAAAATCTTTTTTCACAAACAGTAGTGCTCGAATACTGGAGGTCCATTAAGGAAAACAAAAACAACCTCAGTCCTCCATCTCGTACCATCCACGAAAATTAATTTAAGATGGATGGCAGACCTAAACATAAAGTTAAGAGCATAAAACTTTTAGAGGAAGACATAGGAGAATATCTTCATAACTTGGGGGTAGGCAAAAGATTCTTAGGATACAGAAAGCAATAAACAAAAAAAAAACAAACTGATCAAATAGATTTTATCAGTTAAAATTCTCTTCTCATCAAAAGACACAGTGAATAGACAAGCCACAGAATGGGAGCAAATATTCAGAAAATATACATGGCAAAAGACTAGTATTCAGAATGTATAAAGAACTTCTATACCTCAAAACAAGTAAATCTAATTTTTAAAAAAAAGATAGTCAAAAGATGTGAACGCACACTTTACAAAAAAATATGCATATGGCCAATATATGAAAAAGTACTCAAACAACTGGACATCCACATGCAAAAATATGAATCTACACATAGACCTTAAACACTTCACAAAAATTCAATCAAAATGGGTCACAGGCTGGGCACAGTGGCTCACGCCTACAATCCCAACACTTTGGAAGGCTGAGGTGAGAGGATTGCCTGAGCCCATGGGTTCGAGACCAGTCTAGGCAACTTGGCAAGACTTCATCTCCACAATAAATCAAAAAATTAGCTGGGCATGGTGATACATGCCTGTAGCTCCAGCTACATAGAAGGCTAAGGCAGAAGGATCACCTGAACCCAGCAAGTCGAGGCTGCGGTGGCCATGAGCATGCCACTGCATTCCAGCCTGGGTGACAGCGTGAGACTCTGACTCAAACAAAACAAAACAAAACAAAAAACCCCAAATGGGTCACAGACCAAAACATAAAATGCAAAACTATAAAACTACTAGAAAATAACACAGGAGAAAATCTAGATGACTTTGAGTTGGGAGTTTACCTAGTTTACTTTTTAGATACAACACTATAGGCATGATCCATGAGATAAATAATTGGCAAGTTGGAGTTAAAATTAAAAACATTTTCTCTGCAAAAGGCAGTCAAAAGAACAAAAAGACAAGCCAGGAACTGGAAGAAAATACAAAAGACATACCTGATATGAAGGGTTGCTATCCAAAATATACAAAGAACTCTTAAAGCCAAACAATAAGAAAATCACCTGATTAAAAAATGGGCCAAAGACCTTAACAAACACTTCGCCAAAGAAGACATACAGATGGCAAATAAGCACATGAAAAGATGCTCCATATCAGATTTCATATGGAAAATACAAATTAAAACCATGAGATATCATTATACACCTATTAGAATGACCAAAATCCAGAACATTGACAACACCAAATGCTAGCATGAATGTGAAGCAACAGAAACTCTTTTTTAAAAAAAATAATATATATTTTTTATTCTAAAGTTGTGGCGTACAGTTAAGAATTTGGTATACAAATATTCATTGTGCAGGTACCCTTGTTGATGAGGTGTGCCCCCCTTTCCTGAGACAGATATCGACTACCATTAATCCCACCTGCCTTCCTCTCCCTGTCCCCCCACCCCATAGTTTCCCACCACTGTCAATTCTTTTCTTATACTATTACGATAGTTGTTCAAGGTCCACTTATGAGTGAGAACATGTGATGCTCAGATCTTTGTTTCTGTGAGAGATCACTCAGTATTATAAACTCTAATTCCATTCAGGTTGCTGCAAAATTCATGATTTTGTTCTTTTTTATGGCTGCG